CCTGTTCACAAAGGCCTAATAAGTGAATAGTGGATCAAATCAACCTGTCCTATCACTTAAACCCACTCCATTTAGCTGCTCTGAATGGCCTCTGTTCTCTAAGCCTCCAATATGACATTTGGCTTCCACTAAGCCTGGATATAAAGAAGAAGCGATTTATATGAATGTAGAAGCAAATCCCTGTATGTGCTCGGAGCTGCAGACTTTTTTTCTCCATAGCTCTATTTTCTCCTCTCTCACTAGTATGGTCTGTTTCTGCTGCTTTTTCACTCAAAATGATCATATTTTCAGAGTTATTTTATTACCTGCTGCCTAAGCTGGCACCATACTTTATGCTGTTTCTTATTGAAGTTGATTGGGTCTTGGAGAGAGTGTCACAAGTGAGCAAAACTGTTAAGGTCAAATGCGGTCATCTTGGGTCATGCGACCTCAGCATTTCTTTATTCAAATCCTGTAAGTTCAGTATGTGCATCTCTTATAGAAGAGAGGAGATGTGTGGATTCCCACATTTCTCCTTCTGTCCCCCACCCCATTCCTCCTGTGGCTCCCATGTCACAGGATCAGTTTATTCAATACGTCGAACGCAGCCAAACAGATTTGAGTAATGACATCATAAGCACTTTCAGTTCACTTGGGCAGATTTAAGGAATGCTCCGCTGATCAGCACTCAGCTAGGTCTGAGTTTAGCATGTCTCATACAGAGCAGGGGAAATATTTTTTCCAGAGACCCTTGTCTGGTAGAGGATACTCTCTGGCCAGGACCAAATGCTGTGGCTGAAGAATGCTCAGGGAGGCCAGTTGTGGTCAGGTGAACTAGATCATTGTCTAACCGGCTGGTTGTCTAATTCACATGCCCTAATGGAGCTCCTGGTTAAGAAATTTTCCCTGATATCCAAATTAAACTTCCCTGTGTTTGCATTCATTCCATTACTATTAATTAGCCCCCCAAGTCCCAGAGGCTTCCTACACAATTCCTTTACATCCTTCCAGTATCTGGAGATTATTTTCCTCTCCCCTTAGTCACTTGGCCAACCAAGTTATACATATTTTGTTCACTCACTCAAATTAATTACCCCCCCCCTTATTTTAATTGGTTTTCTTTTAATACTCTCCAACTTATTAACATATTTCTGGAGATAAAGTGTTTGGACCTGGACTCAACACAGTAGCTGTGGTCTCACTGCTGGTGTATGTAGTACATCCTTGGCTCCTGCTAAGGCTGATGATTATTCCGTAAGTTAGAGCACACATGGTCATTTTTTTAGCATAAGTCATCTTTTACAAGTCCCTTTAGGGCAGTGGTTCTTAACCTGGTGTGCACGCACCCCCTGGGGCTGCAAGATGCCCTTTCTGGGGGTGCAAGACATGCCAGATTTTTTTAGAAGGTAAATCATCGAAAACACAAATTAAGCACAGGCAGGTAAGTACAACTACTTTGTTTCATCAAAACTATGTATTTATTAACATTATACATTTTTTAATGATTACTGTAATATACAAACAAAAAATATATCTAGGTTTAAAGAACTGACCTACTTCAACGATTTTTGATAAGGGGTGTGAGAACATATTTTGAGAACCAAAGGGGTGCAGGCTGCAGTAAAGGTTAAGAACCACTGCTTTAGGGTGACCAGATGTCCTGATTTTATAGGGACAGTCCAGATATTTGGGACTTTTTCTTACATAGGCTCCTTTTACCCCCCACCCCTGTCCCAATTTTTTACCCTTGCTGTCTGGTCACCCTAAATCCCTTTAATGTACTAAATTAACTGGAATAGGTAAATTGTCTGCCAACAAACCACTGCATTAGGCAGTTTAGCACAGGGACATAACTGATACACAAGATAGGAAATGCAATAGCTATATAGAGATTGAACTTGTGAAAACACCTTGAGCATGATTAGATGCATTAATAATTTGTTACTGTGAAGATAAGAAACTGCAACTTACTAAGGTAAACTGAATTTGCTAAGGGGAGGCTTGATAATGAAGTATGGAGCTTTTTATCATTCACTAGTCAAAATCTGCCTAAATGGGCAGTGATCAAGTGTTTTCAAGGCTAAGGGTATGTCTACACTACGAAATTAGGTCGAATTTATAGAAGTCGGTTTTTTAGAAATCGGTTTTATATATTCGAGTGTGTGTGTCCCCACAGAAAATGCTCTAAGTGCATTAAGTGCATTAACTCGGCGGAGCGCTTCCACAGTACCGAGGCAAGCGTCGACTTCCGGAGCGTTGCACTGTGGGTAGCTATCCCACAGTTCCCGCAGTCTCCGCTGCCCATTGGAATTCTGGGTTGAGATCCCAATGCCTGATGGGGCTAAAACATTGTCGCGGGTGGTTCTGGGTACATATCGTCAGCCCCCCGTTCCCTCCCTTCCCCCCCCCGTGAAAGCAAGGGCAGACAATCATTTCGCGCCTTTTTTCCTGAGTTACCTGTGCAGACGCCATACCACGGCAAGCATGGAGCCCGCTCAGCTCACTTTGGCAATTAGGAGCACATTAACCACCACACGCATTATCCAGCAGTATATGCAGCACCAGAACATGGCAACGCGATACCGGGCGAGGAGGCGACGTCAGCGCGGTCCCGTGAGCGATCAGGACATGGACACAGATTTCTCTGAAAGCATGGGCCCTGACAATGCATGCATCATGGTGCTAATGGGGCAGGTTCATGCTGTGGAACGCCGATTCTGGGCTCGGGGACCGCATAGTGTTGCAGGTCTGGGACGATTCCCAGTGGCTGCGAAACTTTCGCATGCGTAGGGGCACTTTCATGGAACTTTGTGACTTGCTTTCCCCTGCCCTGAAGCGCATGAATACCAAGATGAGAGCAGCCCTCACAGTTGAGAAGCGAGTGGCGATAGCCCTGTGGAAGCTTGCAACGCCAGACAGCTACCGGTCAGTTGGGAATCAATTTGGAGTGGGCAAATCTACTGTGGGGGCTGCTGTGATGCAAGTAGCCCATGCAATCAAAGATCTGCTGATATCAAGGGTAGTGACCCTGGGAAATGTGCAGGTCATACTGGATGGCTTTGCTGCAATGGGATTCCCTAACTGTGGTGGGGCTATAGACGGAACCCATATCCCTATCTTGGCACCGGAGCACCAAGCCAGTGAGTACATAAACCGCAAGGGGTACTTTTCAATAGTGCTGCAAGCTCTGGTGGATCACAAGGGACGTTTCACCAACATCAACGTGGGATGGCCGGGAAAGGTGCATGATGCTCGCATCTTCAGGAACTCTGGTCTGTTTCAAAAGCTGCAGGAAGGGACTTTATTCCCAGACCAGAAAATAACTGTTGGGGATGTTGAAATGCCTATATGTATCCTTGGGGACCCAGCCTACCCCTTAATGCCATGGCTCATGAAGCCGTACACAGGCAGCCTGGACAGTAGTCAGGAGCTGTTCAACTACAGGCTGAGCAAGTGCAGAATGGTGGTAGAATGTGCATTTGGACGTTTAAAGGCGCGCTGGCGCAGTTTACTGACTCGCTTAGACCTCAGCGAAACCAATATTCCCACTGTTATTACTGCTTGCTGTGTGCTCCACAATATCTGTGAGAGTAAGGGGGAGACGTTTATGGCGGGGTGGGAGGTTGAGGCAAATCGCCTAGCTGCTGGTTACGCGCAGCCAGACACCAGGGCGGTTAGAAGAGCACAGGAGGGCGCGGTACGCATCAGAGAAGTTTTGAAAACCAGTTTCATGACTGGCCAGGCTACGGTGTGAAAGTTCTGTTTGTTTCTCCTTGATGAACCCCCCCGCCCCTTGGTTCACTCTACTTCCCGGTAAGCTAACCACCCTCCCCTCCTCCCTTTAATCATTGCTTGCAGAGGCAATAAAGTCATTGCTGCTTCACAGTCATGCATTCGTTATTCATTCATCACACAAATAGGGAGATGACTACCAAGGTATCCCAGGAGGGGTGGTGGAGGAGGGAAGGAAAATGCCACACAGCACTTTAAGCACAGCACTTTAAAAGTTTACAACTTTAAAATTTATTGAATGACAGCCTTCTTTTTTTTGGGCAATCCTCTGTGGTGGAGTGGCTGGTTGGCCGGAGGCCCCCCCACCGCGTTCTTGGGCGTCTGGGTGTGGAGACTATGGAACTTGGGGAGGAGGGCGGTTGGTTACAGAGGGGCAGCAGTGGCAGTCTGTGCTCCAGCTGCCTTTGCTGCAGCTCAACCATACACTGGAGCATACTGGTTTGGTCCTGCAGCAGCCTCAGCATTGAATCCTGCCTCCTCTCATCACGCTGCCGCCACATTTGAGCTTCAGCCCTGTCTTCAGCCCGCCACTTACTCTCTTCAGCCCGCCACCTCTCCTCCCGGTCATTTTGTGCTTTCCTGCACTCTGACATTATTTGCCTCCACGCATTCGTCTGTGCTCTGTCAGTGTGGGAGGACAGCATGAGCTCGGAGAACATTTCATCGCGAGTGCGTTTTTTTTTCTTTCTAAGCTTCACTAGCCTCTGGGAAGGAGAAGATCCTGTGATCATTGAAACACATGCAGCTGGTGGAGAAAAAAAAAGGGACAGCGGTATTTAAAAAGACACGTTTTATAAAACAGTCGCTACACTCTTTCAGGGTAAACCTTGCTGTTAACATTACATACATAGCACATGTGCTTTCGTTACAAGGTCGCATTTTGCCTCCTCCCATCGCGTGAACGGATTTTGGTTGAATGCCAGCAAACATACACTGCAATGCTTTGTTCTACAGTGATTCCCGAGTACACGTTACTGGCCTGGAGTGGTAAAGTGTCCTACCATGAAGGACGCAATAAGGCTGCCCTCCCCAGAAACCTTTTGCAAAGGCTTTAGGACTACATCTAGGAGAACCGCAAATGCCAGGGCAAAGTAATCCTTTCACATGCTTGCTTTTAAACCATGTATAGCATTTTAAAAGGTACACTCACCAGAGGTCCCTTCTCCGCCTGCTGGGTCCAGGAGGCAGCCTTGGGTGGGTTCGGGGGGTACTGGCTCCAGGTCTAGGGTGAGAAACAGTTCCTGGCTGTCGGGAAAACCGGTTTCTCCGCTTGCTTGCTGTGAGCTATCTACAACCTCCTCCTCATCATCATCTTCTTCGTCCCCAAAACCTACTTCCGTATTGCCTCCATCTCCATTGAAGGAGTCAAACAACACGGCTGGGGTAGTGGTGGCTGAACCCCCTAAAATGGCATGCAGCTCATCATAGAAGCGGCATGTTTGGGGTTCTGACCCAGAGCGGCTGTTCGCCTCTCTGGTTTTCTGGTAGGCTTGCCTCAGCTCCTTCAGTTTCACGCGGCACTGCTTCGGGTGCCTGTTATGGCCTCTGTCCTTCATGCCTTGGGAGATTTTCAGAAAGGTTTTGGCATTTCGAAAACTGGAACGGAGTTCTGATAGCACGGATTCCTCTCCCCAAACAGCGATCAGATCCCGTACCTCCCGTTCGGTCCATGCTGGAGCTCTTTTGCGATTCTGGGACTCCATCATGGTCACCTGTGCTGATGAGCTCTGCATGGTCACCTGCAGCTTGCCACGCTGGCCAAACAGGAAATGAGATTCAAAAGTTCGCGGTTCTTTTCCTGTCTACCTGGCCAGTGCATCTGAGTTGAGAGTGCTGTCCAGAGCGGTCAGAATGGAGCAAATTCGAGCCGGCAACGTCGATTTAAGCGCTAATCCACTTGTCAGGGGTGGAGTAAGGAAATCGATTTTAAGAGCCCTTTAAGTCGAAATAAAGGGCTTCATTGTGTGGACGGGTGCAGGTTTAAATCGATTTAACGCTGCTAAATTCGACCTAAAGTCCTAGTGTAGACCAGGGCTAAGAAAGCTTGTTAACTGAGTTGCCCATGGACCACCTACTTACTCATCAAGTATGGTTGTCTAATATAATGTTTTTCCACTTTTTAAAGCTATGTGTAGGCCCCACTTGTATGACATTGTATGTATGTTTTCAGTTAGTCACTGGCCCTCCTCCCTGTCTGAAAGTTTGTCAGTAACATTCTAGGTTCTCCAAATTTTGTACCTTGTAATAAACAGAGTGTGATGTTATAGCTAACTAGACAGGGGACCAAGATGTGTTGTATGGTGAACCTTCTACTCTAATATGGGAAGATGGGAGAGTTTTTTGGTATTGAGGTCAGAGGTGGAAGTAGGGTGGCAGACTGCTGTTGCCTGTCATCTAAAACCAACCTGACATCTGGATGCAAGTAGTATTCTTGTATGTTCCTTCCTTCCTTCTAGAGGCAGCTGCTGCTCTGACATATACTTAATGAGTGCACCCAGGATTATTATTTTTTTAGTAGCATATCTAACCAAACGGGAATTAATTCAGGCCTGTGCTATAGAGGAGGTCAGACTAGATGATCACAATGGTGCCTTATAAATATAATCAATGAAGATGGGAATTGGCCTCCCCCAGTGAGTTTTGCTAAGTACCACCTAACAGCAATTACACCCCACTACATTGATGGCACCTTCAGAGTAGTAGCTGAGCAGACAAAAGCATTCCCTGCCCTCCCATTTAGCATAGCAGGACAAGAAAAGAGAGATGGGAGAATTAAGTTAAGGGCTGTCCAGCAGGCAACAAGTCATTCAGTTTTTGCTTGTTCAGACCAGACTTTTGGTTGCTCCAGTTTTCAGCCAACAGACTTTTTCCTGGTCTAGTAAAAGTGATTACTATTTGATAGTTATATGAGGAGCTACATAAAATTTGTGGCCACATGAAAAGCCTCCTCAATAGCTAAAGTTTCATGACTGGGCATGAAAACTCAACTTATGTCAGAGGCTGTCCTTCCAGAATATGGTTAAGGCACACTTAGGGAAGCATGCAACACTACTGCTGAATCTTTTCTGAGGCTAGAGCATTCTACAGTGATGTTAATCTAGCATTTTTCATTAGCACTGAGACCCCTATGTATGTACTCCTGGAGGAATTCTGCGCCGAAAAGTTAAAAATTCTGTGCACAATATTTTAAAATTCTGCAAATTTTAGTTGTCAAAATAACACTACATAATCATGCCAGTTTCATTTATTTTGGTAATTTATTTCAAAATACCTGTCAGCAAGTATGTCTAACAATACAGAGACACACAAAAATTCCCCCAGGAGTAGAGAGTTAAAGAAACCCCTATGACAACACAGTTCCTGCTTCTCTGCCCCCTCCAGCCCAGAGCCCAGCCATGCCCCTCATCCCAGATTCCTGTACCCCTCCCCCTCAGAGTCCAGCTGCGGGGGCCCCCTAGCCCAGCTAACTGCATCACCACCAGCACCCAAGCCCAGCCATGGCTCCCCCCCATGGATTCAGAGGGAAAAACAGCCTGATGCTGGGTCCCAGGCTTGAAATGAGTTTCCTGCATGCCGCTGTCTCCTTCCCTTAGGGCATGCGGGGAACTGCAGCTGCCAGGAACCCTCTAGCACTCTCCCCAGCAGTGTCTTCTATGTTCAAGCTGGGCTCTGCCAGGTACAGCGGCCCCTAGTGGCAGCCAGCAGCACTTCAGCCCATTTCTGCATGGGAAAGGAAATTCTGCGCAAAAAACATTTCTGCAAAATTCTGCAATGCGCAGTGGCGCAGAATTCTCCCAGGAGTAATGTACGGGAGACCAAGAGCAAATGTGACATTGTAGGTGGGTAGGAGAATCCCAGGATGATAGCTTCCTTCACAGCATTATTCTTAAACTCAGGAATGACCCTTTTGCTGCAGGACAGTACTACAGGACCAGTCGGAACTTTTCATAACTATTGAATCAGGGGGGAACTGGTTTCGCTCTTCCTGGAGCTCATCAGCTGTAGGTAACTGGTTAAATATAATAGGCCAAACTCTGCCCTGATTCACCTCAATGAAGTTGCATGGAGCATAAGTCATGGTAGAATTTGAGAAGCATGTATTCTCCACCCTCCCAGGGCTGCCATGGTATTGACCAGAGACAGTTTTCAATCAGTAAAATCATGGTTTTTACCAGCCAAGGAAAAACTAGTTAATCCCAGTTTAAAGCATTTTCTGTTTTGAAAACTGTTTCGTTAATGCACACCACACTAAACTTAGTTTAATTATATAGTCAAATTGTGGTGACATAAGGCAGTAGATTCATAGATTAATTTATGGTTACACAAATAATAAGTAAAACGGCAGTGGGTGTAATACTAATATATGTAACTAACACTGAACATCTGAATGTCTATACATTTTGGTTTGGTATTTTCTCAAGGAAGTTACATGTCATGATTCATTTCAGTTTTCAATATTATATAAACAAAAGTCATATGAAAATGACGACAATACAGAGTTGAAACTTTAAGCAATCAGAAGCATGCCGAGTTGCAGACTACCAGTCCAGGTCCATTTGGCCACATAGCAGTCTGCCGCAGAAGACCAACTTTGATGTAGATAGACAGACCACGCCTATTCCTCAGTTTTAAATGGATGTATCCAACATTTGAAAAGATTAATTCTATGCTTGCTGAACTTGCTGGACATTGATCCAATTATTTTACCAGTTTCCCTGTTTAAGCTGGTTTTACCAGTGCCCTGTCCTAAACTAGTTTTCCACCAGGAAATTGCCAACCCTGTACCCCCACCTCATGGGCTCATTAGAAGGTTTTTAATAACTTATTTTGTTACAGTCTGTTACAGTCTGTAAATGGTCAAATATTGTAAAGTTTTAGCAAAAAGCTTCATTTATTGAATATTTTTTATTGTATTCAGATGATGTTCCATCCCAGAAACAAACATTTCAATGCATTTGAACCTGGACCTATACCTGCAACTGGAAATATGCTGAATCCTATCTTAAGCCTAAGACTGGGTACTGGAAACATCAACATACCACTCTTTTGGTATGATCATCACCTCATCTAGGCAGAGATCAGAGCCATCTTGCCTTCCCACTACAGGAGTGAGCAACCAAAACTATTCCACCCCTGAAAATTCCTGAAGTCCGTAGGTTTTCAACTCACCATAGGAAAACAAGCCACCCAAACACAAGGCAGAAAGCTAGAATGCAAGTGGCACAAAAATCATTCTGAACCCCTCCAGCAGCAGCACAAACAACACTCACAGAACTGTGTCACTGCAATAAAGGAGGCAAAACAAGCCATCCACTTTTCTGCAGTGAGTGCAACAGAACCACAACCAGCAGAGCTAAATTTGCAGTGAACTGTCTAATCAACCCATATGGCATAGCTCAGACATCAGACCCAGAACTGACCACTGTGAAGAGCTCTCAGCATATTCCACTGATAAAATCAATCAAATGTGTATAGAGCTAACTGGGAAAAAATATTCTCTGGTCAGAGTGGAATTATTTTCCCCATCACCTTTGAGTTTGGCTCCATCACTCATGAAAAAGCTCAAGAATTCCTAAGAAATATTAGAGCCACAATCTGTGAAATGGATCCATATCCATCCGAATAGAAACAGTCAAGCCTCCTTCAGAGAAACATCTACTAAGCTCCTAGAAAAAATGCAATAGTTCAGCCAATCCTCAAGAAGCCAACACTCAACCCTGAAGATCTCTCAAACCACCATCATGTCCCCAACCTCCTGTTCCTGAGCAAAATAATTGAGAAAATAGTAACTACCGAGTGCCAACATCCTGGATACATCACGATCTGGTTCAGACCAGGGCACAGCAAAAACTGCTCTTCTGGCACCAAATGATGTTTTTTTCATGGCCATGGACATACGCGTCTTCGGCTCTTGTTTGGCTCGTTGTTAAGCCCGGATGACCTGGTAATTTCCAGAAACGTCTTCTTTCACCCCCAGTTTGCTAGGAAACATCTCCCCATCTTCCCTGATGAGTACCTAGACACAGTAATCCATCTACTTGTCACCTTCACGTAGGATTCCTGTAACTCACTGCAGCTGAATCTGAACGTGAAGGCTTGCATAGGCTCCAACTGGTACAGAATGCATCTGCCCACCTTCTCCACGGATTAAGACACTGAGTACACCCAGGCCTGCACTCACGTCCTTCCACTGGCTTCCCGTCAGTTTCTGATGCTAGTTTAAAAGCCTCGATCCTAATTTTCAAAGCAATCAACAGATCAAGCGCAGCTACATCAAAGACCAAATGTCCATCTATGAAATACTGCAACAGCTGCACTCTTCTTTATGATCTACATCAGGGGTGTCAAACATGCAGCCCACAAGGTTCTTTTGTGCGGCCCGCCAAGCTCCCTGCGCGCCCCCCACCTCTCCCCCGCTTACCTACAGGCCAGAGGTGGCCAAACTACAGCCTGTGGGCCAAATCCGGCTGCGGCATCGCCCCCCGGTGGAGCGCAGAACCATGTCTCTGCGGCCCCGGGGTGAGCCTTGCTCTCGCTTCCAGGCACCACCAACCGCAGCTCCCACTGGCCGGGAACGGGGAACCGTGGCCAACGGGAGCTTCGGGGGAGGTACCTGGAAGCGAGAGCAATGTGGAGCCCTCTCCCCCCCCAACTCTGCAGGGACCTGGTTCTGGCTGCTTCCTGGAGCGGAGACCGCACCCCGAATCCCTTCTGCACCCCAACTCCCTGCCCTGAGCTCCCTGCTGCACGCCGCACCCTGCACCCCTCCTGCACCCCAAGCCCCTGCCCTGATCCCCCTCCTGTACCCCTCCGGCACCCCACACCCCACCTCCCTGCTCTGAGTCCCCTGCCGCACCCTGACCCCCTGCTGCACCCCAGCCCCCTGCCCTGAGCCTCCTGCCACACCCTGCACCCTGACCCCCTACCTGACCCCCTACTGCACCCCTCCTATACCCCACACCCCAACTCCCTGCCCTGAGCCCCTGCCACACCCTGCACACCTCCTGCAAGCCCTAGGTGCAGAGAAGGAGCGGAGTTGGGGTGGGAACTTCAGGGAAGGGGTTGGAATGGGGGCAGAGAAGGGGTGGGGCCACAGCAGGGCCTCATGGAGGAGTGGGGGCAGGGCCGGAGGCAGCGAGGGGTGTGTGTCAGTGATGCGGCCCTTAGGCCAATGTACTAGTCCTCATGTAGCCCTTGTGGTCATTTGAGTTTGAGACCCCTGATCTACATTGTCTCAGACCAGGATGAAGCATCTGAGAGCTGGGGACAAAGCATTCTCTGAGAGGACCTGGCTATGGAACAATCTTGCAGAGATCAGGCAGTCTAGTGTCTGACCATCTCCTGAGGGAGCAAGCCTTGACTTCAGCTGAGCATTGCCCGCTCCAACGACAGATAGGTGAACGGCTGTGCCACAGGCCATCAGGGTAGCTGAGTAATATAAGGTGCTGCGTTCAGGGTGCAGTCTCCTCTGGAGTCATGGGTTTGTATCCCACCCCAACATGATAGGAAGGCTCTCTCGGAGAGGAAACTTTTGGACTGTAAGTGACACTTGCAAGTTGAATACCCCTGCCAACTCCTTCCCTCCCATCACCTCCATCAAAAAAAGCCTACCCAAAACAGAGTTCTAACTGTATAAAGGGTGAAGAGAAAGAAAACCCATGAATCCACCTGAGACTTTGCTAATGATTTTACGTAGAAGATGTTCAGATCCTACACCAATGGGAGGCAGTATAAAACCCTAAGGTAGGTAAATAGATAGTTCTTTGTACATTACCTCATCTCTTTGAGAATTAAGCCATTTTGTACTTAAATTATCTAGGTCCTTTTTGTAAATAAGGTAGAACAGGAGAGCTAAAGTCAGGACTTCTTGGGTTTAGTTCTACCATTTGGTGAACTTAAGTAAGTTACTTAACCCCCACTGGGCTTCTGTTTCTTCATTTGTAAATAGGTATAATACTTTATGCACTGACATATTATAAGGTTTAATTAACAGTTACAAAATCAAATAATCTGAAATGAGCTATACTATTAACTATCATTAACCTTTTTACAGAAGCACTGAGTTTTGCACATCCTTGGTGCCTTTTCTAACTATAGTCAAACTGACTGCTTGCTGTGAATGGACATTAGGCATACACTGACTGATAAAGCTTAAAGGTCTGATTTTCACCTGCAGCTTCCATTTACTTCAGATGGATTTGCGGGTGCTGAGCAAGGTCTTCTGAAAACCAGGACCTTAAATGATCTTTTCTGGGTTGCTTTTAATTAGTTCATGAAGAGGTTTGTAAATAAGTAGAAGTTCCCTGAACGTTTGAATGTCAAGAATGAGAGTAAGGACAATTCGGACAATTATGGTCCATCCTCTTAATCTCACATGCAAAACTTGGATTCACTTTGTCTGAAGAAAACCTCTCAAGAGTAGATTGTTGTGAAAGTGAAATGGGCTATGTTCAACATTTGAATCACATCCCAGAAAAGCCTTCAGGGGGGAATTAGTCTTAATGTATGAATGAGAAAAAATGAGATAGAAAAGAAAGGGCCTTTGGTTTCAGGCTCTGGAAAAGTTTTAGGGAAGGTTCCCATCTTAACCAGACTGCTGGCAATGAAGTTAAAAAAGGGTGGTGGGAAGAAATTTATTAGAGAATGGATTCACCAAGGGCAAGTCATGCCTGACTAATCTAATTGCCTTCTAGGATGAGATAATTGGCTCTGTGGATGAGGGGAAAGCGGTGGATGTGTTGTTCCTTGACCTTAGCAAAGCTTTTGACACGGTCTCCCACAGTATTCTTGCCAGCAAGTTAAAGAAGGATGGGCTGAATGAATGGACGATAAGGTGGATAACAAGCTGGCTAGATTGTCAGGCTCAACCGGTAGTGATCAATGGCTCCATGCCTAGTTGGCAGCTGGTATCAAGTGGAGTGCCCCAAGAGTCAGTCCTCGGGCCGGTTTTGTTCAATATCTTTATTAATGATCTGGAGGATGGTGTGGATTGCATCCTCAGCAAGTTTGCAGATGACACTAAACTGTGAGGAGAGGTAGATATGCTGGAGGGTAGGGATAGGATACAGAGGGCCCTAGACAAATTAGAGGATTGGGCCAAAAGAAATCTGATGAGGTTCAACAAAGACAAGTGCAGAGTCCTGCACTTAGGACGGAAGAATCCCATGCACCGCTACAGACTAGGGACCGAATGGAATGTGTTACCTAGGGAGGTGGTGGAATCTTCTTCCTTAGAAGTTTTTAAGGTCAGGCTTGACAAAGCCCTGGCTGGGATGATTTAGTTGGGGATTGGTCCTGCTTTGAGCAGGGGGTTAGACTAGATGACCTTCTGAGGTCCCTTCCAACCCTGATATTCTATGATTCTATGATTAGAGAAGATTGGAAAACAGAATAAAAATTTTAATAAGCAGAAATCAAGTTACATGTCCAGTAGCATGGGAATCAGTTAGCAACAAACAGTTGCAACAGAGAAAAGGGAAGGAGGGAAACTGGGAGTAATTTTAGTAAGACTAGATATATTAAAATAAGCACATATTTACAAATAGATACCTGTTCATTTACCAATGAGAAGCCTAAAAGCCAAAATGGATGAACTAAAATGTTTGACATTAGGGAAAGGACCTCTACATAACTGACATTTTCGAAACACGATGGAATAAGAACCATCAATGGGATACTAAAATTCCTTGCTTCAAACTATACAAAGAAAGGATAGTTAGGTTGTTTTTCTAAAAAAGATCCTGAAGTAAAACCGTATATGGCTATATATGTGAGATCTTAAAAATATGAATACAATAGTGAGGGTATACTGTCAGGTAAGGATATGATTTTGTTACGGAGGTCATGAATTCTGTGACTTTAACGGGCCTCCGTGACTATCATGGCCCCCCAGGGCTAGAGCAGCAGCCAGCCCCCCAGGACTGGAGCAACAGCCAATGGGGCTCAGACTGTTAGTCCCTGTCCCTTCCTCCCCACTCCCCCCGATGGCCCCCTGGTACTGTTAGTAAAACAGTCAGGGTCAGGTGACAAGCTTCAGTGAATTTTTGTTTATTGCCTCCGACCTGTCCGTGACTTCCACTAAAAATACCTGTGACAAAATCTTAACCTTAACTATCAGTCTCTAGATCAGAGGAGCAATGATGAAGTTTAAGACAGTTTAAAGAGGCAATAAAATCCACAACAGTAACAGCAACATCCAGCCAACCCAATATCATACAATGATTGAAACATCATTTATAAACACAGTTTGGAAAAAGTTTCTTTGGACAGCTTGTTCTGAAGCATACAAGTGGAGAAGCTATTCTAAACACAGTCCTGAGAAACAGACATGAGTTAATTCAGGAAGTGTAACTGAAATTTAAAGAACGGGGATATGGATTTTTAAAGAACTGAAGTTAAAAACCAAGATTAACTGAAAAGCTAAGCATCCTCTATACTGATTCCACTAATGTTAACTTCTTAACAGTTAGTCTTAGACAATGTAATACCCCAGGGCAAAGCATTAAAAAACCCTACAGGGTACACTTCCACAATATATAGTTAACCAACTTGTGGAATTCACTGGTGGTCAGTAGAGAGCTGGCTGATCACACGATGTTGGCTGTCTTCATTTCCTGCTGGTAATCACATATAAACCAGCTAAAAATACATAATACTTTCTTAATATTTACTTCTCCATGTAACTGCTGTACACAATTATGTATTTATTACCAAATGAATGTTATGAATGCAAATGCTAGGGCAAGTGACCCATAAGATAATAAGATGGATCCACACTATGAGAAAGCTGAGAATGTCTTGCCTATCACTAATAGGATTTTTTTTAAAATTTGAGTTTTCTTCTGAACTATTCTGCATAGGTCATTTTTGGCTACAAGTTACTAAGCTGGATGGACCGTTGATTTGTGGAAATTCAATTGCTACTTTGGAAAAGTTTTCCATCAAAAAAACATACATTCAGTGAATCCTGTTCTGGAAATTGCACACTCAAGACCTTTTCTGTTGTGTCATTTGTTTGTGCTGGGCCTATAGCACATTCAGCTTTAAAGCTGGATGTAGATAAAGAACTTCCACAACCTCATTAAGGTAATGGGAAAAGATGTTCCCAAGAAAGATACCAAGGGAATCAAATTTTCAGTTGTCCCCAGTATTCCAGTTATTTCTACTTCTGCCCTCATTAAAGTTTTTCCAAGTCTTATAAATACAATTCCTTTTACAGGATAGGTATTATAAGAGGGTTTTAAAAGGTGCTTACCATTTCAGCAGATTGTGCAGCTGATGTTTGTAGTTGCCTATTGACAGGGATTAGGGTTGAGTCAGCAGCTCTTGAAGACTGAGGTACAATATGCTGCATACTAGTTACAGTTTGAGAAGATCCTGATCTTTGGGTTTGACTTGATTCACTTAATCTGCTATTTCTCTCTCCAGCAATCAGATCTCGGATTTTGTGTAGTTGTTCAATTGAGGCTTCCTTAGGAAAAACAAGATGAGTTTCTCCCTGAAATGTAAAAAACATAGAAAAGTTAATTTTTATGTATTTAGTGCATGCAAATAAAACAATGCAGTTTAACCCTTTCTCTGCTGGTCTTGCTGCAGAAAGAAGAGGCATCCTTAACCTTAGAGACCCAGGAAAACTGGAACAAGATCTCAATGTTTCTAAAAGAATTTACCTATCTTCAGCTTGGATTAAGAGAGGAGGAGGAAAAGGGCCTCATGTTTTTATTTGTATATTATTACTCCAGAAGTAAGGGGAAGTGTCCAGTTTCTCCTCTAAACAAGGTCTCGTGCAGTAGTTGTGCAATGGGAAGGCTGGTAAAGAAACTGCCACGCCTGAAAGGAAATCCAGAAGCAGTGAAATGACCATGGTGCTAACATGGAGAGTGCTGAGCCAGAACAGCCTTAGCGAGATGGGGTAACTATAACTCAGATTTCTTCCCCTCTCCAAACACCTGAGAAAGATGGACTAGCATACCGTGCTGGAACACACACCCCCTGGAGATGGTTACTGAAAATAAGTTTGTGACCTCCAACCTTGATTACCACAACTTGTATAGAGATGAAGCAGCATACTCTCAAAGCTCTAACTCATGCAAAATACAGCAGCAGTTTACCTAGTAACACAGGTGCCTGAACACAATCACTGTGGAGTGCAGTTATCTACACAGATTCTCCATTTAATACTATGCCATTCAAGGTGTTATCCGGGACCTCTTCATGAGATTAGCCTTAGAAACCTGAGGCATTACCTCTTCCTCTGCAATCAGGCTCTCCCATGACAACTACTTTCCATCAGGTCAATTATAATGTGTGACCAATAGAGGGAGGCTCAAAAATGCAAAAGACAGAGCTTTCACCAGCACTGGACTTAGATTAGAGAACTCAACTCCACAAGAGATAAGAGTGACAATGGAACTAGCCAAATTCAGCTCTGGAAGCAAATTTGTTTTTTTCAGTTTAGCTTTCCCTCAAATATTCCATACACAAATTAAAACTAGAAGCTATTTCTACTTCAAGAAACTTGGAGGGTACTCTGATGCTACAGTGATGGGGCCATATTAGCACACAAGGGGTGAAATCCTGGCTCCACTGAAATCCGTGGTAAAACTCCCATTGACTGCAATAGGGCCAAGATTTCACTCAGGATGTTTTTTTTACCTTAACCCTACAGATTTATGATGATGCTTTCCTTAACTTTCATGTTATTTGGCACTAGATATTTATGGACAAAGTAAACATATGCAAAATGAAAGGAAAAGTGCTACTTAAACTGCAAGTGGCCAGGAAGTAGAATCTGATGAAGTCTCCGGTCAAGCTCAACAGATGAGCTAATCACTTGTTTCAGGCCCCACAAGACCATAGGCTAATTCTGGATCTGCAGTTCCATCTGTAAGTGCCACAGGTGAAGGCAATTGTAGATGAACATGCACTGCTTTTAGCTTTATGCCTCACACATTTATCCTTGCTTGCAGCAATTCAGCTCATGGGCTGAAAGCTCCCAGATGTTGAAGTCAACTCTGCAAGATTGGACTTTGGTCCCTTCCAGTGTTTTTGTAACATATCTTGGTCTGCCTTTAAAATGAGTTCCAATCTGCAATTCTCTTTAAAAGATAGCCTTTGATATTCTACTGTCAAACATACGGACCATGTGACCACAGCATCTCAGCTGTGCTCTCACTATAAAAGCTTAAATGTCTGATGTTGCAACACTCAAAGACCTCGGTATTTAGAATCAAATCTTGCCATTTAATTCCAGTTATCTGCTGTAGAAATCATAGAGGGTATTTGTCCAAGCATTTTATGTGGCATTAATAAGTTGTCCATGTATTGCAGCCATAGAGGAGAGTAGTGGTGATGATACATAGTGGTAAACATCAATTATGGTTTGCAGTCTGACATGGTGTTCATTCCAGAGACAACGCTAAAATTCTCTGAAGGCATCACTGGCTGCACCAATGCATTTCATAATGGTGTTGTCATCATTGTATTTAGGGTTACCATATGTCCATATTTTCCCGGACATGTCTGGCTTTTTGGTTCTTAAATCGTCCGGGAAGAATTTTTAAATACCTAAAAATGTCTGGGATTTCGCCATTATTATTTTTCCCCAAAGAAGAGTTGATCATTCAAGAAAGAGACTGAATGTTAATCATTTGAGAAAGAAAGTGAATGCTGATCACTCGAGAGAGTGCCCACTTTTTCCCCCTAGCTCCCAGCGCTTGCGCCGCAAAACAGCTGTTTCACATGGCTGGGATGGGGAACGCGGCACGCTCAGGGGAAGGGGGGGGCAGGATTTGGGGAAGGGGTTGGAATGGGGGCAGGGAAGGGGTGGAGTTGGGCGGGGCTGGGGGCGCAAGCAAATCCTCGCCCCCCCCCCCCGTGGAGTGTCCTCTTTTTTGAATGTTCAAATATGGTAACCCTATTGTATTTCAAAAAACAACACTGTGTAGGTAGCAAAATGTATCAACAACCTTGACTGGTACATAGTCAATAGGCAACAGGATAAGTTGCAGTATTTACCAGTGGAGCCTGGACTGTCACTTCTGTCTTCTTTAGGCTGACTGTTAAGTTAAAATATTTTGCTGCACACACAAAGTAATCAGCGAGTAACTGAATGCCCCTGAGGTTATGGGCCAGTAAAGCACAATCATCAGTGACAGTAATTCATGAATAGTTATCCTTATCACTTTTGTCTTCACACACAGGCAATGCAGATTTAAGACACCTCCATCCATATGGTACTTCATATAAATACACAATCAATGTCTCTGAATGCATCTATTAGAACAGCTGCAAACATGATGCTAAACAATATTGGGGTAAGAACACAGCCTTGTTTTACTCTTTTGATGACAACAGAGGAAGCTGAGAAGCAGCATTGGTCAAGGACACGAACCTTAATTCCTGCATGAAAAGATTTAATAATGATGACAAACTTATAGGAGGAAAATGAACTTGTGGAGTCCACAAGCCTTTTCAATTTACAGAGTCAAAGGTCTTAATACGATTGAGAAAAACTACATATAGGTCTTGATTCTGCTCACAACATTTCTCCTGTATTTGCGGAGTGAAAAGATCATGTCTGAAGTACCATGCCCAGGACGGAAGCCACATAGTGCCTAAATGCCAATCTTCTCTGCAAGTTGATCAGTTAGTTAGTTTAGCATGACTCAGGTGAGTATCTTACCTGCAGTGGCAAGAAAGTGCGACGCCACAATGGTTATCGCAAGAAGCATGACTGCTTTTCTTTTGTAAAAGTGGATAATGTTGGCATCTTTCTGCTCCTGTGACATAGCCTCCTGTTCCCAAAACTTTAAGCAGAGGCCCGTGAGCTTCCTGATCAGCTCCCTTCTAGTCCTACAATTCTATATCTCTCACATTTGAAGATCTCTGCAGGAATACCATCTGTACTTGATCCGTTGCTGTTTCACATTTGCTTGACAGCTTTCCATACTTCAGATATATTTGGTGGAATTGAGAGTTGGTCTTGAATTGGAAGTTGTTCAAGATCATCAAGTGCTGATGCTAATGTGGTGTATGGGCAGTTCACCACTTATTAAAGTGTTCACCTCATCATTACAGAATTTGTCCACGATCAGTCAGCCCATTAGATTGCAGGCCATACAGAATCTTCAGCTCATCAAAAACACGTTTGGAGTCTTTTTTGTCTGCCACTGATTGAAGATGGCTGGGTTTCATTTTCCACCAGCTATCGTTCATGTGGCGAAGCTTAGCTTGCACATTACACTTTGTATGTGAATAAGCCATCTTTTTAATAATGAGTTTTTATAATTTATCCATGTGTGAAGAGCATGCATGGATCTCAAGAGTTGCTTTATCTCAGCATCACTTTTGTCAAATCTTTTCTGATGCTCCCTCTTTAGATGTATTGAACACGGTTTCCTTAAAAGATAACCAGGCAGAGTCAGCATTTATTATGTCTGACTCAAAGTGTGATGAGAACTTCATGAAGTTTTTTAAACAAGCTTTGTATACGTGAGCTCAGATTTCAACACATGCACACTGACTGTGGGTATTGGAGATTGACAACATCTGCGCTGTTTCAATTGGATCAGTATCACTTTACATCTCATGACCTGATTATCAGATGGCATGCAGCTCCCTGCATTGCACAGGTGATTTTGACATCTCAATGATTGCCTTGGTATACAATGTGGGGGTGCATTCATGTTGTTTTGCACTTTGGTGCTTGTTGAAATATCACATCTGTGATGACTAGCTAGTTCTCCATGCACTTTTGTGAGGAATAGTGTGCCATTTGTACCCACACCACATTCACCAATTTCTTTTAGGCAAAGTTTTGTGATTGCAACCAACTTTGATGTTAAAATTGCCTAGGATGATTAATTTGTCGCACCTATGAGCTGAGTTCATGGCATTGTCAAAGTCTTCATAGACTTTTTCTTTGACAATGTCAGAACATGTCATCGTCGGTACATATGCACTAACTGTTACATGACATGCAGATGTCAAGCTGAGGTGAAGGACAATCAGGCAATCATTTATTCCTTTTGGTACACAACTAGGTGTGCGTGTGCAATATACATCCAAATAGCAAAGCCCACTCCCGATAGTCTCCACTCGTCTACGGACTTGCCTATCCAGGAAATGTGTATCCAGCACAGAACCCTTCAAGATGGGACTTGCCTGGGAGATGTGTCTCACTTGGTGCAGCTATATCAATGTTGTATTTGGCAAGTTCTCTTCCAAGGAGTGCAGTGTACTTTCCAAGCCCACCAACATCATCAGAAAGAGTGCAGACATTTCCAGGCTGAAAAGTTCAGTATTCTATGTGTGATGCTGCTTTTTAACCAGATACTGCATGACCAGCTAGTCACGGCATACTAGTAAATTGATAATGGAGTGAGAGAGATTTAGGAATCCATTTCTCCCCCTCCCCTGCATTAGGGAGAGCAGCACTATCTTTAAAGAGGGCTGATCCGTCGCATGAGAAGGATATGGATTCCAAGATCATTCCAAGTCAACAATAAACAACCATCACGCTGGCACTGCCTGACTGCAGGTTTGTGACTAAGGACCCCCTGTTCCCATCACCATACTTTCCTGTCACCACAGGACTTTCAAAGAACAGAATGAGTGAAGAGATAGCAAGGAATAAGGACTATGGACCTGCACAAAGAATTGTTTAAAGTGGTACTAGGTTGTACATGACTAGTCACACTCTCCTGTCCTTAAAACAACATGGAGTCCTTGTGGCACCTTAGAGACTAACAAATTTATTTGGGCAAAACCCACTTTATCAGATGCATGGAGTGGAAAATACAGTAGGCAGGTATAAATACACAGCTCATGAAAAGATGGGAGTTGCCTTACCAAGTGTGTGTGTGTGGTGGGGGGGGGGATCAGTGCTAATGAATCAATTCAATTAAAGTGGAAGTGGGCTATTCTCAACAGTTGACAAGGAGTGAATACCAAGGGAGGAAAAATCACTTTTGTAGTCCTTGTTGGCTGTTTTGTCCACCGGTGCAGAAGACTGCAACGTGTGGATTGACAACACAGCTCTTTGCAAGGTGCAGGTGAAACAAAATTGAGAAAATTGCTTGCAGAACCCACTGAAGGCCAAAGTGACCACAGCCCAATGCCCGGGCTTTGCAGCAGTGCCAAAGGGAGCTTGCTAACTCCACTGCAAATTGAAGCAGAAAGCAGCTGCTCCACTGAAGTCCATGGGCCATGATTGGCTAGCAGGTCGGACAACCTCAGTTTGAATACAGACTATACCGTCTCTTTAGACCAGCTGCCTACCAGGGCTAAGGAGTGTCTGGTTAATCCCAATAATGGACTTTTTGTCTGATGTCTACCTTCTGACCTGTCCAGTTGGAGTGGCTCTACCAGGAGTTAAACTACTGCAGCATAGCTCTCAGGATCATTGGAACACTTAAGCCTTTCCACCATCTTAAGGTGCAGCCCTAGAGAAGGCCCTATAGCCTTGCAATTGTAAAGTTAAGCATGAACCAGAAGAAGGACAAATCACCTATTACACCGTAGATGGAACACTACTGAAGTTACTACAGGATAAAACAAGCCTGGAAGACAAACGTCTAGAATACTCACCTCTTCAAATCCCATTTCAAACAAACATTCAACTGCTCCTCTGACAGGTAACAACCGAGTAGAAAACGCTGGATTTCCAATCCGAATAGACCTATATTTTTCTTCATTTGGGTGTCTGATAGGAATTTAAAAAATTGAAACAATTACATCATCAGCTAAAAAACTTGGAAACTTACAGTGTGGGTAGTGACACCTCTCATTGGAGTTTTTGGGGTGTTAACATTTTTTAGACACTAAGAAACTTAGACTTGCTTTCATGTACAGAGTGTAGGCAGCACATGAAAGGTCATTTCTAAATCTACATCCTACAAAAAACTTGACAATAGTTAGGCCACTGCTGTGCTGTCATCACTGCTCATAATGCTGACTAATATTGTCTCGTTGTTTCCTTGTCCTTCCCCATCTGTCTGGGTCCATCTGTCTTACATTTACATTTGTACTCTTTGGGGTAGGGACCCTCTTTTTGTGTGTGTTTGTACAGCACCTAGCATAATGGGGTCCTGCTCAATGACGAACTAACTTGGGATGAATGGCCGTTTACTGGACACTCCCCATCATGCCCCATGTGGCAAAATACTGCGCAATACATGAATACCCCGATGCTAAAATACTGCAGTGATACACACGGTTTAAACACCCAAACCGCTCACAGACTGTGCATGCGCCTGGGGGAGAGGTGTGAACTGCACTAGACCTGCCCCCTCAGGGTGGGAAAAGCAACTGACTCATTAAACGTCCGTCTCCTGCCCTCACCCTGTCCAGCCCCAGGAGACAAGAGTAAAGGGCTGCCAGGTGGGCCCGTCCGAGCGGGTGCCAGGGCAGTGGCCAGGAGGCAGGTCACAAAGCCAGGCCTAGACCCAGCAGGACTTGCCAGCCGGGGGCAGCCCCCTGCGGACAGGGCAGCGACATGCTGCTCGGGCCGACACGGCATGGGGGCGGAGGGGGAAGCTCTGCCCCTCAGCGGGAGCTCCGCTGTCTAAGGGGGGTTGCAACTGACCCAACGGGGGGCAGTGTTCAGGCGGTCATGGACTCAGGACCGGCTGAGCTGAGCTAAGCCGCCGCCGCCTCCCCTACTGAGTCAGCAGCTCTTCCCGCTGGGTGCCCTGCCCAAACTCAGGTCGTGCCCCCCCGCGGCGCCCGCCGCCAGGCCCCAGACCCTGAGTCAGAAGATTTATTCCCGCCACGGGGACGGTGCCCTAACTGACCCTGCTCGGCGCGTCCGCCGCAGCTTCACGGGCCCGTCCGCACTGCTGACCTGAGGATATTGTCCGCGTAGGTGAGCAGTAACCGCGAGGCCTCCAGGAAGGTGTCTCGAGCGTTCTGGCAGAGCTCACTCACGGCTCGAGAGCGCGGTGGCGCGGAAGGACCCCCCGCGGCCGCCATCGTGCTACTCTCCCGGGGGCGGGGGATGGGAGGGTGTCGCTTGCTCCCAGATCCGGGACCTGCTGAACCACCCAGCGGCTGAACGTGGAGCGGGCGGGCAAGTTTCCCTTTCAGTTTCAACAGCTTCATCAGCGATTATGGTTTCACAGTCAGTGCCTCCATAGCTAAATTGGATTATTTCACTTAACCCTCAGATTCAACGTCTTTGTTTTGCATGAAAAATATAGTGCATCTTTCCTGAAATGTACCGCACATAATCTGAATAAATTTTGAATTTTCTGAGAATTTTCAAATAAACCTGTTAGATTGAGCTAGATTTAATTAAAAATGGGTCCTTTAAACAATCTGTCCTGGTGAGTGTCACACTTTTTTTTTAATCCCTTTAGCTAAAAATGTATTTTATGGTCTTATTTTCAGATGTGCTAACCTTGTGCAGGTTTCAGAGGAACAGCCGTGTTAGTCTGTATTCGCAAAAAGAAAAGGAGTACTTGTGGCACCTTAGAGACTAACCAATTTATTTGTGCAGTTTCCCTTGAGGTTGTGGTGTGTAGCCTCTCTGAAAATCAGGCCCTAGGTGTATGTACTGTAGTGTACAAACTACAAAATAATTTATCTTGGTCAGTTACAACATGGTGTGGTCTGATTGCTTTGCTTTTACAGTAATTTTGAAACTCCTTATCGTTTTCTAATAATGTGGTCCTATAAAGCCCTGTATTTCCACTATTAACAGGCAGAACATTTTTGCATTTTAGTCCTAAAATGGATCTTTTACCATGTAAGGACAGTTCCATCCCATTTCACAAGAATTATGTAAAATGTGCAAGTACCCTGACTAAGCCCTGACTGGGATGATTTAGTTGGGGTTGGTCCTGCTTTAAGCAGGGAGTTGGACTAGATGACTTCCCATCAGTATGGCACCTCATTTAATAACTTTTGCCAAAAAGCAAGTGCCAACAATGTATATTTCACGTTTTTCTGTTTGCACTGAACCTCTAGGGACAGTTGTACACACAAGTTTCTTCAGATTCTTCTCTCAGAAAGCCAAAAATCACCAGGGTCTTTGAACTAGAGCAGCTCATTTACACACTTGAGAAATTTCTTCCTACCAAATAATGAGCATTTACAGGTGCTTTTATCCAAGAATCTCACAGTGTTTAATAAACACAGCTTGGTTTATTAATCCTTAGCACCCCTGTGAGGTAAAGTGATCCCCATTTTATGGATGAGTAAACTGAGGCAAGAGCACAGCGTGAGTCAGTTATTTTATTATAGGCAACGCAGATAGCAACATCCATCATTTTAACATTGCCTGGACACTTTCCATTATAAGACCCTGTTTTAATTTGCTTGTAACTTTACCAAATTTAACCATTTGGGCTGAAATTTTCCATGCCACGGTGTCAGCCTCAGGCTGAACTGTTTTTGGAAAATTTCAGCAAAAACAATTCTGTTGTTTCTCAGAACAAAATTTGATGGAAAAAAGTGTTGCCCATCTTAAAAAAAAATCTTCTGACCATTTTGATGAGCAACTCTAGTGCCTCCATACTTTGGGGTAAGGACTTGAAATTTGGCAGGGACAGGTTGCCCTGGTGTCAGGGATGTGCCTTTTTGCCATCCCCATGAAAATCTGCCCAAATTTGTTCAAATTATGAGCCTCTGAAAATCTCAGTTTGCACACGCTCTGGGGAGTTTGGCAGCTCACTTCTCTGAAGATTCCATCTGCTGTGGGCATACTCCACCAGAGGGATGCAGAGACTGAGCAGGACCTTCTCTTAGTTGGTCCCCCCAACAGTTGAAGATTGCTGAAGTGCCAGGCACAGGAACTGAGAGCCAGGATTCTGTCTTTCCTGTGCTTTTAATGCCCCCCTACTGGCATCCAGGCAGAGAGGAGGAGGAGGAAGTTTAACTACCTGACTGGAATATGGAGGAATAAATTGCCAATCTAAGGGAGCTGGTGAAGTGGTGGGGATGGGAGAGAGAGGACTGAGATGTGAAGCTCAGGGATCTGGGACTGGAATGAGGAGCTGATGCAGGTGTGGGGTGTTAAAATGGGACTGGGGGCACGGACATGCTGTGCAACCTTAATTTGGTCCCCTTGTGCATATACTTTATGATACCATGTAACTGTAATTAAAGACTATTTTTGTGACAAGCAACATTAATTCTAGCATTTCCCAACTTCTGAATTTGTAACCCTAACGTTCTTTTTAATATAAATAAGATGATGTGAAAAAAATAAAGTGAGGGAAAGTGAATTTCTCTTTTAGTTTCCTTCATGTCCTCGTGATTATTTAGACTCATGCATATTTTCTAGTCATCTCGTGTTTTTGAGTTCTTGGTGCTCTCTTTTGCATGTTTTCTATTTCTGAACGTGACTTTTTGGAGAGCGCTTGACTTCTTTTTTTATTAATTTCCTTTTTAATATAACTTTATTCTCTGGGTTTTTAAAAAAATCTCCATGACTCTTCCTTCTAGGGATCTGCCTTGCTGTTTTTGTTGTGATTCCTCTTTTTGGTCTCTGTAGATAACCCTAATAGCTCTTGGATTCTAGCCTCATGCTGTGCTCTAAGATAAGTAGGAAGAATATTTCCACCACCTAAGAACAAATTGAAGAAAGGCTCCGCTTATTGTCATGGGTGGGATTCTCACTGATGTCGCAAGCAGAGACTGTGAGATAAACACACCACACGCCTCACCCTGCCGCAGCCTCGGAGACAAAGAGGCAGAAGTCAGAGAAACAGCAGGTCACATGCCCTACCAATCCAAAGCCGATTTCTTGAGTGGTGCAGGAGCTTCTGACCAATCGAGGAATCGGCAGTCGATTATCCAGTCGTCGAGGTTTGAGACCCCCCTTTTTTCCTCACGTGGTTTACCCCACCGCCGTTGGAGAAGGGGAGGGAGACGGAGCTGACCACACCGGAGAGGGGGAGGTGAGACACAGACATCCGAGGAATGTGCCTGTTTCCGCGCCGATCTGAGGGGTGGGATGGAATGAAAGAGGGAGGTTTGGGAATGGCGCGGAGGGGAAAGATCTTGCCCCCCGGAAATGGGCCAGGGCTGTTTCCCCCTCTCCTAGATAACCGGGGCGGGGCTGCCCCACCCAGGAGGGGGAGGTTGCCCCCGATGGAACGCTCTGGGGCAGGGGGTTATACTCTGACTCACACCTGGAGAGGAGCCGGGTGGCGGAGAGCCCCCCCCACCAGAGCCCCCTGCCAGGGAAGCACGGTGCCATTGTGTCCTGGTGCCCGCCAGTCCCCTCTGCCCGTCAGGCATCACGCAGTGCGTGGAGAGAGGCCTCCGCTAACTAGGCTGTAACCTCTTCCCTAGCCCCCAGGAGTTTGCAGGCGTGAGGTTTGAAAGTCCGCTCTTGTTTTCACACAGGGTGGCTAATTTTGGTTGGACGTATTCCTGGAGGTGTCATCCCGTGGCATAAACTTCAATTAAAGATTAATCTTGTATTGCTGGAGACTCCAGGACAGTCCTGGAGGTTTGGCAACCTTATTTTCAATGCTGTGCCTAGGGGCTGGCAGTGAAGCCAGAGGAGGGAGCAAAAGGGTAAAATGTTGATTTTTTTTTCAGTTTAGAGGGCTCCACGCCTTCTTTGGTGAATTGTTGAGGTTTGGCCCCCTATAGCAAAATAGTATTCTATGTAATAATCTCAGCTACTCTAGCAGTGTTGCCAACCCCAGTTGTTCAAAACAAGTGAGTCAAATGCACCAAAACCATGAGATTGGCTTTAAAATCATGTGATTAAGTAAAATAATAGGTTTGGTGTTTTACTTTGTTTTTTGTTCTGATTTATGAGCCTTTAGGGTGCACTGGGGGACACATTTTGAAGTTTTCTCCGCAGCCAGAAGGGCTAGAAACTTGTTGATATTGTAACACAAATAAATAAGAGTTGTCACTTGGGTATCCCTCACTTTGCACTTTTATAGAGCTTTGTACTTTCACTATGCTATAAAAAATATTAACTAATCCTGTGATTGCCCTTAATGTTAGTTTAACATGACTTTATTTCTTTTTATAGAACATTAATAACCATTAAATGAAGGTGGTGCACAAGCATTGTTTTTTCAGAACATACCTCGTTGTAAGGTTTATTTTGACAATATTTTCAGTGGTTCTCAAACTGTGGGTTGGGACCCCAACGTGGGTTGTGACCCCGTTTTAAGGGGGTCACTGGGGTTGGCTTAGGCTTACTGGGGCCAAAGCCCGAGCGCAACTACCCAGGGCCAAAGCTGAAGCCCGAGCCCAACTGGCTGGGGTCAAAGCCAAAGCCCAACAGCTTCAGCCCTGGGCAGCGAGGCTCAGGGTACAGGCCCCCTCCCCCTCTGCTAGGGGCGGTGGGGCTCCCACTTTGGCTTTGGCCCCCTCACCTGGGGCAGCAGGGCTTGGGCAAGCTCAGTCCCCCCTTCTGGGGTCGTGTAATTTTTGTTATCAGAAGGGGGTTACGGTGCAGTGAAGCTTGAGAAACCCAGTGTATTATGCCACATCCTGAAGTCTGGCTGCCAAATATGCTGACCGTTGACCCACAGCGGAATATAAAAATGAAAGCAGCAGCCTTAAAGATACAACACACTGCTGCTGTGAATTTAAAACCAATAGCATTTTGCAGCCTGTTGTCACAGGAAATAAAATTACTTTCAGTTTTTCCTCCCACTCATTCCAACTGAAAAAGATATTCACCAGACTTTAAGAAGCTATATGCAAAATTTAAAATAGGTTTCCCTGTCCTTTCAGTGCTCTTCATTTTTGCCTTTGGCCGTATGTATAAAGGGGAAACAGTATAAGAAAAAAGTGAGAAAAGTTCTACTAGTACTTGTCCTTGGCAAAAACAACAACAAGGCCAACATCCAAAATATCTAGTGTTATACAATCGCATGCTTTTACCCATATAAAATAACAATCGCACCATTAAACATTTGGCACAATAGAAATAAAGGCACTAGAACCAAATGCTGTCACAGGATTAATACTCTGTGTTGAAAAATAACCATCCAACTCTTTATCTAGCAGCAGGAGTACATAACAGCATTCTATTACAGTGATATTATCTCCAAGTCCAGTTCCCCTCGGAAAAATTATTTGGTAAAAAAATGGCGTTGTGGGGGGTTCCAAGTTTATTTGTTTCTCATGGATGTCAAACCAAATTTGCTCCATTTAGAAGAGAAAATGGTTATTTTCTAATTGGAAGCCCTGCAAACTGCTTGGACACTTAATAGTCAAGTTGGGTTATTTCTTTCTTGTGTATCATCATGGGTAATAAAGTTCCTGCAAGCCAAATCATACCCTCATGAGCACATGTACAACAGGAACACAAATTGCCAAACCAGATCAGACCAATAGTCCAGTATCCTATCTTTTACAGTGATCAGTACTAGATTCTTCAGCTGAAGGTGTACTTTAAAATATAATATTAATATAATAACGCAGTGTTTTATGATGCTAGATGTGGTTATTTTCGAAGTGAGAGCTATTAATCCTGTGACAGCATTATATTTCAGTGCATTTGTTTTCACTATACCAATACAACTGATGACATATATATCATCTGATGAAGACATATACACTTGATTGTGTGACATGTAGTGTTTTGGAGAATTTTCAAATAATTGTTTAAAGAGAGCAAGTGGCCATATTTCATGGCTTTCTAAATCGTAACTGTACTACATTTTTAATAAATGTAAATTAACTACTTCACATGTATTTTGATATATACTATATGACTTCAAATTACTCTTTTCCCCAATTAGCAACAATTTAATTTAAATTAGGGACTAATTTATAGAATTTCATGATCAAAATCTATGCTTAAAGCTTAATCAAACAAACTATCTCAAATGTGAAAAATCTGATTTTAGTAAGTCAAAAATGGCTTGATAGAGCAAAGCAATTTTTTCACAATATAAATGGATATTCAAATACAATGTTAAACTAACATTAAGGGCATCAAAGGACTAGTTAATATTTTTACAGCATATTGAAAGTATAAATCTCTATAAAAGTGCAAAGTGAGGGATACCCAAGTGACGGCTCTTATTTATTTGTGTTACAATACTATACGAGATCGAGGCCCAGATGTAATAAGGGCTGTATGAACACATTGTAAGAGAACCCTGTCCCAGAGAGCTAACAATCTAAATAAACAAGACAGAGAAAAGGTGTGAGGGGAAAGAGAGGCATGGAGAGATGAAGTGACTTGCCAAGGTGTCAGATCAAATCTGTGGTAGAGCTGGAAACAGAATCCAGGTCTCCCAACTCTCAGTCTAGTGCCCCATCCCCTAGAGTTGCTGTCTCCCATAAAGGTTATGATGAGGTCCTTAACTTACTGTAATAAATAGCCACAATAGGGCACTAGTCACACAGGGAACATCATTCTCTGCAATTTAGAAAATGCATGCATTTAAAAGGCAAGTCCTAATTTTACTGTACCTTAAATGCTTTTTACATCAGCTACTTGATTGTTACCTTTTTTACCTGTTACAGAAACGCATTTCAGGTTACCGTGGTCTCCACCATGATCTCACAGTGCTTACAAGATTTCTTAAAAATTGTAAATTTTCGTCCTCGGAGTTCCAAATTACATCAGTGTTTAAGAAGTAGCAAAAATGGTTTCAGCACCAAGTCACTTTCCAAACATCAAAGGCGAGTAGTTGTCACAGGTATTGGTTTAGTGTCTCCTCTTGGTGTTGGGACTCAATTCGTGTGGAATCGCCTTCTCCAAGGAGAAAGTGGGATTATCTCTCTGGATGGGGAAGAATATACAAGTGTTCCATGTAGAGTGGCTGCTTGTGTGCCAAGAGGAAATGGCAAGGGTCAGTTCAGTGAAGAGAACTTTGTGTCAAAATCAGAAAGCAAATCCATGTCTTCTGCCACTATCATGGCCTTGGGTGCTGCAGAGCTAGCAATAAAAGACTCTGGCTGGCATCCACAGTCTGAAATGGATCACTTAACTGCTGGTGTGGCAATTGGAATGGGAATGGTTCCACTGGAAGATATTTCCAATACAGGCTTGCTGTTTAAAACAAAAGGTTATAACAAAGTCAGCCCATTCTTTATCCCTAAGATCTTAATCAATATGGCAGCAGGTCAGATCAGCATTAGATACCAACTCAAGGGGCCCAATCATGCTGTGTCAACTGCTTGTACCACAGGAGCACATGCTGTTGGAGATTCCTTTAGATTTATAGGCTATGGTGATGCTGATGTGATGTTGGCTGGAGGAACAGAGGCTTCTATTAGCCCCTTGTCTATAGCTGCATTTGCAAGAGCTCGGGCACTCAGCTCTAACTTTAACTCAAGCCCTAAACTGGCATGTCGACCGTTCCACTCGCAGAGAGAAGGATTTGTAATGGGAGAGGGTGCAGCTGTGTTGGTGTTGGAAGAATATGAACATGCTATTCAAAGAGAAGCCAGGATCTATGCAGAAATTTTAGGTTATGGACTCTCTGGTGATGCTTGCCATATAACAGCACCTAATCCAGATGGAGATGGTGCTTTTAGGTAAGAATTTGTAGATTAATTTGACAGATACGTTATTAAGCTATTATTTTCTGTTGGTCAATATTCTCTGTAAATTTTTCAAGAGAAATCATAGAATCATAGAATATAAGGGTTGGAAGGGACCCCAGAAGGTCATCTAGTCCAACCCCCTGCTCGAAGCAGGACCAATTCGCAGTTAAATCATCAAATAACATGCACCTCAGCATGAATACCATCCACATATCTTTTAACTGGTGTGAGAGTGTTTAAAATACAATGGCATGCAGATTTTCAAAAAGCCTGAAAGCTTAATCTGAACAATGGAAGATTTTTGTAAGGTTTTATCTTATTTTTCTTGTGGCAAGGTAGTCTCACTAGAGTCAGACGCCTCATGTAATATTATGGAAGCTTTATTCAATGTGGAAAATATTTCACTTTTACTTTTGATGTACACAGCTGTTCACCATAAATGAGTCCCAACTACACGCAGATGTTAAAGGCTAAAGTACAATAAAACCTTTTGAACCTCTGTATTTGAGAGGAGAGACATTCAGCTATGAAAGCAGGTAATGCTGCTACCTGTGTTCTTTAGGAATACTATTTAATTAGCCCACACTGAACTCCAAAATAGTACATTAACAGTTATGTAGTAGTTGAAGAATGCCGATTCCCAGAATAAGTACCTTAGATATTATCAGTGTGAATAGTCAAAATGCTCTGAAAAAGATTTAGGACTTGGTTTTAACAAGTTACGTTGATGTGTATGCAAAGCACACGTTTAAAATAGAGACCTGGTTTAAGTATCTTGCTTTGTTGGGATCGTAATGCAGACTCAATGCCTTCAGTGTGGTATGGGGGGAAAAGGTTAGAGTTGGTGGATGGACAGCAGAAATGAACTTTGGATTTTCACTTTGGTATGTCCTCAGATCTATGTTTGCATAGAATTAAGATACTATCACACTGTAGGCTGATTAAATGTCTTATTTTTTATAGGATAGTGCCATTTTTCAGCACTCTTTTGCCAGTCTTAAAATAGGGCTGCTTTTACAAGGGATATCTGTGGAAAAGAACGCATGTTGCTCTATCCATTACTGAGATAGAAAATCTTCTTTTATGAAGCTAGTTTACACACAGTTTATATCTTTTTACAGTTTCACTGTTTTGACATTTTATGTTTATACATAAGAACATAAGAATGGCCCTATTGGGTCAGACCAAAGGTCCATCTAGCTCAGTATCTTGTCTTCCAATGGTGGCCAGTGCCAGGTGCCTCAGAGGGAATGAACAGAACAGGTAATCATCATGTGATCCATCCTCTGTCACTCATTCCCAGCTTCTGGCAAACAGGGGTTAGGGACACCATTCAACCATAGAATAGAATCCCGCCCATCCTGGCTAATAGCCATTGATGGACCCATCCTCCATGAATTTATCTAGTTCTTTTTTGAACCCTGTTATGGTCTTGGCCTTTACAACATTCTCTGGCAAGATATTCCACCAGTTGACTGTGCATTGTGTGCAGACATACTTCCTTTTATTAGTTTTAAATCTGCTGCCTATTAATTTCATTTGGTGACCCCTAGTTCTTGTGTTATGAGAAGTAGTAAATACCACTTCCTTATCTACTTTCTCTACACCAGTCTTGATTTTATAGACCTCAATCATATCTCCCCTGAGCCATCTCTTTTCCAAGCTGAAAAATCCCAGTTATTAATCTCTTCTCATTCGGAAGCCTTTCCATACCCCTAATCATTTTTGTTGCCCTTTTCTGAATCTTTTTCAATTCCAGTCTTTTTTGAGATGTGGCGACCACATCTGCACACAGTATTCAAGATGTGGGCGTAACATGGATTTTTATAGAGGCAACATGATATTTTCTGTCCTATTATCCATCCCTTTCTTAATTATTCCCAGCATTCTGTTCGCTTTTTTGACTGCCGCTGCACATTGAGTGGATGTTTTCAGAGAACTATGCACAATGACTCCAAGATCTCTTTCTTGAGAGGTAACAGCTAATTTAGACCCATCATTGTATATGTATAGTTGGGATTATGCTTTCCAGTGTGCATTACTTTGCATTTGTCAGTATTAAATTTCATCTGCCATTTTTTTGCTCAGTCATCCAGTTTTGAGAGATCCTTTTGTAGCTCTTTGCTGTCTGCCTGCATCTTAACTATCTTTAGTAATTTTGTATCATCTGCAAATTTTGCCATCTCACTTTTTACACCCTTTTCCAGATCATTTATGAATATGTTGAATAGGACTGGTCCCAGAACAGACCCTAGGGGGACATCACTATTTACCTCTCTCCATTCTGAAAACTGACATTTATACCTACCCTTTCTTTCCTATCTTTTAACCAGTTACCAATCCATGAGAGCACCTTCCCTCTTATCCTGTGGCAGCTTACTTTGTGTAAGAGCCTTTGGTGAGGGACCTTGTCAAAGGCTTTCTGAAAATCTAAGTACACCCTATCCACTGGATCTCCCTTGTCCACATCCTTGTTGAGCCCCTCAAATAATTTTAGTAGATTGGTGAGGCATGATTTCTCTTTACTAAAACCATGTTGACACTTCCTCAACAAATTATGTTTATCTATATGTCTGACAATATTGTTCTTTATTATAGTTCCAACCAGTTTGCCTGGTACTGAAGTCAGGCTTACAGGCCTGTAATTGCCGGGATCACCTCTGGGGCCCTTTTAAAAAATTGACATTACATTAGCTATCCTCCAGTCATTTGGTACAGAAGCTGATTTAACTGATAAGTTACCGACTACAGTTAATAGTTCTGCAATTTCACATTTGAGTTCCTACAGAACTCTTGTGTGAATACCATCTGGTCCTGGTGACTTATTGCTGTTAAATTTAATTTATCAATTTGTTCCAAAACCTCCTCTAATGATATCTTAATCTGGGACAGTTCCTCAGATCTGTCATCTAAAAACAATGGCTCAGGTTTCGGAATCTCCCTCACATCCTCAGCTGTGAAGACTGAAGCAAAGAATTCATTTAGTTTCTCCTCAATGGCCTTATCATCCTTGAGTGTTTCTTTAGCACTTCGATTGTCCAGTGGCCCCACTGGTTGTTTAGCAGGCTTCCTGCTTCTGATGTACTCAAAAAAAATTTGCTATTACTTTTTGAGTCTTTGACTAACTGTTCCTCAGATTCTTTTTTGGCCTTCCTAATTGTATTTTTACACTTCATTTGCCAGTGTTTATATTGTGAATATAGTGTTTGATAGTGTTTATATTTGTATATAGTGTAAATACCCTATAATTAATTTAATTATGAATGAAATAACTTACCTGTATCTCTCTCTCTCTCTCTCTATATATATATATATCTCTACCGCTTGAGAGCCTTGTGTAGGCTGACTATATAGGTCTTTGCTAAAGATCACAGGTAGAGCTTTACTAGTCTTCACAGCTTATTGTAGTATTATACTAAAACTTTTACGTATCAGTGCAAAGTAATGGTTTTCATAGCAGCTGTGATGCCCTTTGTGCTTATGGCATATTGTTGTTACCATAGGAAATGGTCAAAGAAAAAGCGAATATGGTAAAACAATCCAAGAATACAGACTAAATAAAAAGTGAAAGCATGGATGACAGTGGCACCTAATCAAAGCCAACCCTATTTGTCGATAATCTGGGTTTGCTGAGTGTGCCCGTATGAGTCAATGCATTGTACTGACCCCATTAGAATTATTATTGTAGTGATAGTTCATAGTCATTTCGGTTCTTCTGTTCTTAATATACCATGCCTCCCAGGATTTTTTCCTTTCTAAGGATGAACTGCCCTGGCAAGGGAATGGACTAAATGACCAAACAAGTAGCCCTCTATATTTTATGTTGTTCTGATGTCTGTGTTTAATGCTATATCTTTGGGTTAACAGATTTTAAAGTAGAAGACTAATTTTACCAGTTTTCTCCTTACAGTACTTGATTCATACGTAATTGCTTTAGACATTTATTTAGACTTTTAAGACATTTATGATGAGATACTGAGATTAACTGTGAACTTTCTCTCAAATTACAGATTTTTTTCACCACTGAGCTGATATGATAATACATTTGTAACACAATTTTCCTATATGCATCTTATAATTGTGTCAGAATATGAATTAAATTCACAACAGGAAATAAAGCATTTTATATTAAACATTTTAAATTATGAATTGTGATATGTTGTACATTAGCAAAGAAATCTGAAATGTATACACTACACTTATTACTGTATATCAATTATTGGCTTCCCAATTTACATAATTTCAGGGGCATATAGTTTTTGTGAGATTCATAGATTCATAGATATTTAGGTCAGAAGGCACCATTATGATCATCTAGTCTGACCTCCTGCACAACGCAGGCCACAGAATTTCACCCACCACTCCTATAAAAAAAACCCTCACACCTATATCTGTGCTATTGAAGTCCTCAAATCATAGTTTAAAGACTTCAAGGAGCAGAGAATCCTCCAGCAAGTGACCCGTGCCCCATGCTACAGAGGAAGGCGAAAAACCTCCAGGGCCTCTTCCAATCTGCCCTGGAGGAAAATTCCTTCCCGACCCCAAATATGGCGATCAGCTAAACCCTGAGCATATGGGCAAGATTCATCAGCCAGATACTACAGAAAATTCTTTCCTGGGTAACTCTGATCTCACCCCGTCTAATAGCCCATCACAGGCCATTGGGCCTATTTACCATGAATATTTAATTACCATAACCATGTTATCCCATTGTATCATCTCCTCCATAAAATCCATAGATTTTAAGAGCTACTTCAGCCTGATAATAATATATATGTAGGACATGATCCTACATGTGTTAGGCAAAACTCTCAGTAAAAGAGAACAGGTCTGGGCCCAAAACTTGTGTATATAATGCATACAGTAGAATATATGTGATATATAATATATTTGGATAATATAGTAGCCCTAAGGAGTGTAGTAAGTTAAAATAGTTTAACTATTTCCCTTCTGGTTGATTAACTTTGTTGCCAGTATTCTGGCTTGCTAGTAAGTGACAAACAGGATCACTCAACTCTCTGACTTAAGTTAGAAGCTGGATTCTGCAACATGCCTGAAAAGGCGGAAGAAAGACTCAAAGTCAGAGATGTTTAAATTTATTCAACATTTGGTATACCTAATAGAGCTCACTTCCTACTCGTCTGTTGCTCTGCAGATCTGTCATCCATATTATATTACTCCTGGAGGAATTCTGTGCCAAAAAATTAAAAATTCTGTACCAAAATTTAAAAAATTCTTCTCACAATATTTGAAAATTCTGCAAAATTCTGCATATTTTATTTGTCAAAATAACACAATATAATCATTCTAGTTTCAATTATTTTGATAATTTATTTCAAAATATCTGTCAGCAAGTATGTCTGTAACAATATTACCAAAAAAAAAAAAAAAGAAAAGATTCTGGTAATTTTTTTTTTGACAAATAGATTCTTTACTAGGCATATTAATACAGAACTTTGAGTAATTAGTTTAAATTACAGTACAAAACTATATTTCCTGCACCTGTCAGAAGCAGTGCAAAGGCTTGGGGGAGTCAGGAGTAATGGAGCTGCTGCGGGAGAGGGAAGGAGCCTAGGAGTGAGCCTGGAGATGTTGGGTGTGACCCCATGGGTCTCTGCAGCCCACATCCCCAGGCTTAACACTTTCACACCACTAGCTCCTGAGCCTATGCCCCAGTCTGTCCCGCCCTGTCATTCTGAACCCCAGTCTGTGACACACACACATCCCCTCCCTCCGCAGCCCTGTGTGCCCCACTCTGTCCTAACCTGGCTCTGCGGCTGTGATGAACTCTACTCCTGGGGGGAATTCTGCAGCACTGGGCATAGCATTTTTTTTTTCCCCCACAGAAAATACATTCTGCTCCTTGGGGCCAGAATGGAGGTATAGGTTCTCAGTGTAGTTGACACTGTGCTCCCAGTGAATCTCCTGTTATCTACTGGGTTTGGGGCCATAGCCCTACTTCTTCCAGAATAAGGAAGACAAATCCTCCCCTAACCCTGAGGGAAGAATTCAAAAGAAGCTCACAAGGAGAACTGTGGAATTTCCCTGCCCCTCTGGATTTTTCCCGGGGGAGAAAGCAGTTTGCACTAAAGTTCTGAACAGTGGTGAGGATGTGTCTAGGGTTGTTGTGAGCAAAAGGGAATAATATAAACACGAGGGACAGAAAATGTAAAAGTTAGGAAACTTTTTGTTTAATTTGCTATGATCAAGATGGTTGCTGTAATCACAGAGGGAACTCTGCTTTTGATTGAGTACCTGGCGGCAAAACTAGAGAAACTTCAGCAGAGGGTAATTGAAGTTGTAAAATAGTTGGGAAAATAATTTTTAAGATAAAACTTATTTTAGAAGGAAAATGATTGACCTTTGGATTAAAAACAGACTTCTAATGGACAACAATATCTGTTATCTAATATCTGATATCTATTATATCCCCTTTTTCAACCTGTGGTATAACAGTCTTTCCGCTGTAGACTTTAATTCCAGTCAATATATTCTATAGAAGAATAAAATATTTAAGATACCCGAGATCTAAGTGTGTATATTATTCTTATGTTGCTGATAAAGTGTATGGGTCTGATTCTGCTCTGCCTTGCACCTTGTGTAGTCATTTATATTGGAGCAAAGGGCCTGTGAAATGCAACCATTCTGATTTAGCATTTAACAACCATTTCCACTCTGAACAGATGGCGGTGACTACAAGAGACAGTGGGAAATCAAGCTCTCTGTTTTTCTTTTTCCTTAGATGTATGTCTGCAGCAATAAAAGATTCTGGAATATGTCCTGAGGATATAACATATGTCAATGCACATGCCACTTCTACACCACTAGGAGATGCTGCTGAGAATCAAGCTATCAAGAGACTTTTTAAAGAGCATTCATACACTCTTGCAGTTTCCTCAACAAAGGGAGCAACAGGACATCTCCTGGGGGCTGCAGGGGCTATAGAGGCAGCTTTTACTGCACTGTCCTGTTACCATGGAATTTTACCACCTACTCTCAACCTGGATAAAACTGAGCCGGAGTTTGACCTTAATTATGTTCCGCTAACAGCCCAAGAGTGGCAAAGTGAAAAACGACGCATTGCTCTCACTAATTCATTTGGCTTTGGTGGTAGTAATGCAACACTGTGCTTTGCTCATGTTTAGCTTACAGAGTGTTGTGTGTGTGTAAATACTACAAATGCAGATTGGTAAATGGCCTGAAAAATAATTTGTGGTACTACATTATGTTTTGTTGTACTGTAACACTTTTTACATGAACCATATCCCTTTTTATCCAGTCACATTGGCGACTTGCTTATTTTTTTCTTAAGTCTTCCAGTCCTTACCTATTTATACTTCAGACTACAAAAGAATGAGTATTACTCCTTTAGAGTCTGATCTTGCAAATGCTAAGTGCTTTCTTTGTTTTCATTCACTTCACTGGGAGGTTAGGATGCTCTGCACTTGGCAGGATTTAGTCCTTAGTATGACAACTCCTGTTTGATCAACAGCCCCATTCACCTCATTCTCCCCTTTAATATATTGTTTGCATTACTTCTGGTTATTACTTTGAAATACCAAATTCAGCACTTTAATTAGGAATGTCATATTTTAAAAAGAAAGGTATTAAAGTTGAAAATGCTCTAAAATGCTTTATATTAAATTAAATATTCAAAAGTACATACCACTGTTAAAAAACCTATTAATTGCGCTCTCTCTCTCTTTTTTTTTTTTGGTCTGTAAGGTCAAGAATGTAAAAGTAGAATGTAAATGGAATTGTTCTTGCAAATGGTTTGGTAAAGATGTGGCTCAGTTAGATAGAAAAATAAACCTATTTCAGCTATTTTGAGTGAGGGAGAATCTGTCAAAACTGAGGGCTTTATTTACATCAGTGCTATATGTTTTGCAACATCAAAGAAGTAAACTCAGCTGAATTGCCTCTTCCTCAAAAGATTTAACCGTGAACAGAAGTTTATTTGATTTGAAAGCATGATGGTTTTGTGTCTTCTTTGTATGTATTGGGAATCCTGATTTTGTTTTAAATTTTAATAGAAAGATTTAAAACAAATAAAAATTCTCCCACTGTGTTTGCAGTCCAAATATTCCAGATCCTGTCTGTCACTGACTCATCTATTTTAATTTCCATGATAAGTGATATGCAAAGGTATATAGCATAAATAGTGAAAAGTAAATTATATTTTCAAAATTCAGTTTTACTAACTGGTGCTGTTAATGTAGGATATATTGCCATTAAAATCAGTGGGTGTTAAGTGAGTTCAGCACCTTGCAAGTTAGGGTGCATAGGAACGAAGCTCCTATTTTCTAATGATATGTCATGTTTATCTTGACAGTCTTCCTTGAATTTCATAAACAGAGCTTTTTTGATGCATCAGAATGGTAATAATATAGAATTCAAATGAAGTGCTGAATTTATAGCTGCTGCATCCCTTACTTCATAATATCATTTTGAGTCTGTCAGTTTATGACTTTATAAACAACTTAGTTGTTCAGTTAAAAATGAATCAAATATAAAATTTCCCAGAGAAATATATTTACCTTAGAAACATTTTTTACATTTGCTCCTCAAATCATTAGTACAAGATTTGAATACAAAGACCTTCATCAAGATGAAATTACTCTGGTTATACATGTGGATATTAAACCTCATATCTTCTTTTACTAAATGAAATAAACAGACTCACAGAAAAACAGATGGAAATTTGTCCTTCTGTTGTGCTATTATGCCATATAATAAGGTAGAACTTTCTTGTTGGATCAGAAAAGTGGTCCATCTAGTCCAGTCCTATCTCCAGAAGTGGCCAGTACCAGCTGCTCTGGGGCAAGGAGCAAGAAATGATGCAGTAGGCAGTTATAGGGAAAATTTCTCCCTCCCTCCCTTCACTCCCAGTTGTTAGAGATTTGTGTATGATATAAACTGTCAAGGTTCCTCCCCCACTCTGAACTCTAGGGTACAGATGTGGGGACCTGCATGAAAAACCTCCTAAGCTTATCTTTACCAGCTTAGGTCAAAACTTCCCCAAGGTACAAAATATTACACCCGTTATCCTTGGAATGGCCGCTACCACCACCAAACTAATACTGGTTACTGGGGAAGAGCTGTTTGGACGCGTCTTTCCCCCCAAAATACTTCCCAAAACCTTGCACCCCACTGCCTGGACAAGGTTTGGTAAAAAGCCTCACCAATTTGCATAGGTGACCACAGACCCAAACCCTTGGATCTGAGAACAATGAAAAAGCATTCAGTTTTTTACAAGAAGACTTTTAATAAAAAATAGAAGTAAATAGAAATAAAGAAATCCCCCCTGTAAAATCAGGATGGTAGATATCTTACAGGGTAATTAGATTCAAAAACATAAAGAACCCCTCTAGGCAAAACCTTAAGTTACAAAAAAGATACACAGACAGAAATAGTTATTCTATTCAGCACAATTCTTTTCTCAGCCATTTAAAGAAATCATAATCTAACACATACCTAGCTAGATTACTTACTAAAAGTTCTAAGACTCCATTCCTGTTCTGTCCCTGGCAAGAGCAGCATACAGACAGACACAGACCCTTTGTTTCTCTCCCTCCTCCCAGCTTTTGAAAGTATCTTGTCTCCTCATTGGTCATTTTGGTCAGGTGCCAGCGAGGTTACCTTTAGCTTCTTAACCCTTTACAGGTGAGAGGAGCTTTCCCCTGGCCAGGAGGGATTTCAAAGGGGTTTACCCTTCCCTTTATATTTATGACATAAACCATCAGGGTTTATGTATCTTCCAAATATTTTTTTAATATTTACTATTATAATTCTAGATAGTCTTATTATAAATGTCCAATCCTTTTTTGAATCATGCTAAGCTTTTAGCCTCAGTGATATGTATAACAGGACTGTTAAGTGCACAGAAATATTAACAGCAGTCATTGAAAACGAAGGCTTGAACTCATGGTCTCCTGGCTCCCATCTCAATGCATCTTTGTGCTAACCTACAGGATATTTTTATTTTAGGAGTTTCATAGAGTGCTTTTTGAATAGATCTCAGAGTGCTTTACAGTAGTGAGTAAGTATCATCCCTATTTTGTTTGGTGATAGGGAAACTGTGGCACAGAAAAGATAAGTGACTTGGGTCAAGTTTACACAGTTGAGAACATAACTGGAGCTGGGAACAGAAGCCAGGTTTCCCATTTCAGTTACCATGACCTATCCAGACTGCAACATGGATCCTAATGAAAGCTGTATTGATTCTCACAGCTACAGTTATGCACCATGTCAGGTTATGGATAACTAATTTATGGGGAGATAAAGAGTGCGATATGAGGATGGGCAGTATTTAACAGTAAAGGGATGGGGGTCCTGATTAAATGTACAGTTTTTAAAAGTGTTAATAGTGAGCAATACAAGATATTGCTGAAAGAATAACAATGAATTGCATTATTATTTGTATTACCATAGTACCTAGGAACCTAGTCACTGACCAGAACCTGCTAAGTGCTGCACAAACACAGAACAAAACAGCATCCCTGCCCCACCGGGCTTACAATAAATGTAAAAATCGGACAGATTACTTAGAAATGTTTATACAGCTGAAGGAGGCCCATTAAAAAGCCAGAACCTTGTACACTGTGTGGGAACTGATGACTCTAAGATGACGGTACAAGGTATATTAATGAACTGTCCTCTCTTGGCACCTGCTACATTTGCAGCGGTGTCTTTCCTCCCTGACATTGTTTTTCCAAATATTGTAGGCGTATAGACTTTTCCGCACAGGTAATGTTCAAAAGTTTCTATATAAGGTCAGACAGATCTCTATCTTGTAGCTCCTCCTCTTCTCATCTTTGCTTCAGAATTTATCATTTCTTCTGAGATGTGTTACTGGAAGCACCTTAAATCAAGGCAGTGAGACTTGATGAAGAGGTACATAATTATTGGAGCTTTATTGATCATGTCTCCACTTCTTCACTACAAGAGTATTCACAGAGCACTGATAATGCTCATAAGAACATAAGACATAAGATTAGCCATACTGGGTCCCCAGTGGCTCTCAACCTTTCTGGACTACTGTACCCCTTTCAAGAGTCTGATTGCTTACTTTCTCATTTTTACCACATAATTATAAAATAAATCAATTGGAATATAAATATTATACTTATATTTCAGTATATATGTAAACAGCGGTATAAACAAGTCATTGTATGAAATTTTAGTTGGTACAGAGTTCGCTAGTGCTTTTTATGTAGCCTGTTGTAAACTAGGTAAATAGCTAGACGAGTTGATGTACTCCCTGGAAGACCTCTGCATATCCCCAGAGGTGCTCTGACCTCGATTGAGAACCACTGATATATCCCAGGATCCTGTCTTCCAACAGTTGCCAGTGCCAGATACTTCAAAGGGAACGAACGAAACAGGGCAATTATCAAGTGATCCATTCCCTGTTGTCCAGGCCCAGCTTCTGGCAGTTGGAGGTATAGGGACACCCAGAGCATAAGGCTGTGTTCCTGACTATCTTGGCTAATAGCCATTGATGGACATATCCTCCATGAGCTTATCTAATTCTTTTCTGAACCCAAGTATACTTTTGGCCTTCATAACATCCCCTGGCAATGAGTTCCACCAGTTGAGTGTGCATTGTGTGAAGAAGAACTTCATTATGTTTTTTTAAAACCTGCTGCCTATTAATTTAATTGGGTGACCCCTGGTTTTATATGAAGAGTAAATAACACTTCCTTATTTACTTTCTTCACACCATTCATGATTTTATAGACCTCTATCATATCTCACCTAATAGTTGTCTCTTTTCTAGGATGAACTGTTCTAGTCTTTTTAATATTTCCTCATATGGAAGCTGTTCCATATCCCTAATCATTTTTGTTTCCCTTCTCTGTACCTTTCCCAGTTCTAATATATCTTTTATCAAATGGGATGACCAGAACTGCATGCAGTATTCAAGGTATAGATGTACCACACATTTATAGAGTGGAATTATGGTATTTTCTGTTTTATATCTGTCTCTTTCAAAATGGTTCCTAACATTGTTAGATTTTTCTAACTACTACTGCACATTGAGCAGATGTTTTCAGAAAGGATTCATGATAACCTCAAAATCTCTTTCTTGAATGGTAACAGCTAAGTAGGCCCTATAATTTTGTCTGTATAGTTGGGATTTTTTCCCTCAATATGCATTACTTTGCACTTAATGGTGAATTTCATGTGCCGTTTTGTTGGCTCATCACACAATTTTGTGAAATCCCTTTGTAACTTCACTGAGCTTTGGACTTAACTATGTTGAGTAATTTAGTATCATCTGCAAACAATCTCACTGTTCCAGATAATTTATGATGGTAATTTAAATTTATAATTACCTTTTCCAGAGAATTTATGAATATGTTGAACAGCGCAGGTCCCGGTACAGATCCTGAGGGGTCTGCTATTGACCACATTCTATTGTGAAAACTGACCATTTATTCCTACTCTTTGTTACTGTGGTGTTTAGATGTTGCTTGTAATTATTAGAATTGGGAGCATTGGCTGTTGGGGATCTGAAAGGACAGGAAACAGGAAGGAGTGAGGAGGAGTTGAAGAGACTGAGGGAGAGCTACTGAGGGTGCAACAGCAACTTGGAAAATAAAAATAAAGTCCTGTTTAAGTTTGTTAGTACCTTGCCTAGCTACAACAACATTTTGGTGACGAGGATGGATCTTCTGCCTCTGCACCCACCTGCACCCTTTCTGCAAAGCAC